AGTAGATTTGTGCATTCTCCTGCCAGTCCGTGGTACAGTCAGTTGTCTTCAGAACGCCATAATTCAAATGGGTCTCTTCATATCTGCTCTTACTGTTGCCTGGCTTTTGTATGCATAGGTGGCGATTGAAAAGAGTGCGCCTGAGATCTAGGACATCTTTATCGTCAAAGTGATGTATTTGTTATTTAACACTTTAAAGAGGTCTCGTGCAACAGACCAACACAATGTGTCATGTGATCTTTGGACTGCTCTGCCTGGCTGTTGATTGAGAAAGCTTTTTATTTTCTTTTTAAATCATTTTATTGGGGGCTTGTACAACTCATCACAATCCATACATACATCCATTGTGCCAAGCACATTTGTACATTTGTTGCCATCATCATTCTCAAAATGTTTTCTTTCTACTTGAGCCCTTGGTTTCAGCTCATTTTTCTCCTCCCTCATGAACCCTTGATAGTTTATAAATTATTATTTTTCATGTCTTACACTGTCCGATGTCTCCCTTCACCCACTTTTCTGTTGTCCACCCCCCAGGGAGGAGGTTATATGTAGATCCTTGTAATCGGTTGAGAAAGCAGTTTTAATAGGAAAACTAGTCCTACCATTGTCCTGTGAACATCTAGGAATAAAGACCATGTGTGCTTTCAGTGATGTACTCTTCACCAGTCACCTAGTGCCACTCATGTTTGTCACCCATCCCTGGTAAGCCCTTGATTGCCTTTCTACCAATTGCAACTTTGTGACTTACAGTCCCTGCATCTGAGGTATCTTGAACATCCCAGAATTGGAGACATGGCACAGGATTTGATTCTCCTGTGCTGGCTGCCTGCACTTTTATTATGTGACTCTCTTAACGGACAGCTCTTTGACAACCATTAGCCAATCTGTAGCTGTAGAGGGAGTGCATGAGCCCGTCGAAATTACAGCGAGCCCAGGACTAAGATGATCTCATACGGAGAGCAGTTCACAAGTTCTGGATCCAGTTTTGACTAGGACAAACGGGGCTTACGCAAGGCGTGCACCTGAGAGTTGAGGTTTTGTGTGAACTGGGCTGGGCCCAGGTTCTCGGAGTTGGCAGTTGAGATCTAGGAATCCACCATGACATGACCTAATGTAGTGTAATGAAGTCACCGCCACAATGGGATCTGCTGGAAGCAGATAATCCGTTTTAGGAATATTGGGGTGGGAGACAGCACCATTACTCAGGTCACAGCTCTGATACAATCTATTGAAAGGGCGTTTCTTCAGCAGAGGTAAAGAGTGGGGGCTTCATCTGCTGCACACAGACACAGTAAAGGTTTGGTTGCTTTTCAGTAGGCCTAACCTCTGACTCCTGAGGAACCCTGGTGGTATAGTGGCTATGCATTGGACTAGGATCTCCAAGGTCAGCAGTTCAAAATCACCAGCTGCTCCAAGGGAGGAAGACCGACCTTTCTACTCTCATTCAGAGGTGCAGTTCTTAGAAACTCACAGAGACAGTCCCATCCTGGCCTATAAGGTCCCTGAGAGTCAGCATCGACTTGCTGGCAGTGAGAGCTCCTGCAACTGATTCCGTTCACGTCTAGTTCTTTGGATTCGAGCCAAGAGCTTGCCATAGTGTCTGCCAGTTCTGGAAGTTGTCCATAGCCTAAGGTCTGGTCTGCCGACCTTGGATTCCTGAGACACTGCAGCCACAAGCCTGTCACCTTCCCGCTTATCTTGAAATCCTGAACTCCCACCCCTTGAGTCTGTAGAAACCTTCAATCTAGTATCGGACACACGGTTGGGCTTGCCTGCTTCTACAACGATGTGAGCTATTTCCTTCTAAGTCTTTCTATATACATACATGTATAAGGGTCACTGGTTTTCCTTCCCAGGAGAACCCAGGCCAGGAAAGCGGACAAGGGTTTCTGAATTACGTGCAGGAGGGGGGAGAAATGGAGACGGTATCTCTAGAAAGGCAAACACGGGTTGATAGTCTGCACATACTCAATGCAGCCATCTCCCATCTGAGAAAGCCCAAGCAATCCAACTGGGTAGTGCAAGAGCCCTGGTGGCATAGTGGTTATGTGTTGGGCTGCAATCCACGCGGTCAGCAGTTCAAACCCACCAGCAGCTCCTCGGGAGAAAGACTGGACTATCTACTCCCTAAACAGTTACAGCCTCAGCAACCCACAGGGTTCACTATGGGTCACCATTGACTCGATGGCAGTGAGTTTTCACAGATAAGGAAGCCCATAGACCGAACAGCAGCACTCCACAGACCAGACCCACAAGGGAAGTGCTTGAGAATCAAAACTCCAAGAGGAAACTCCGCCCTAGGAATCCCCAGGCCCAGCAGGCATTCCCTTGTACCCAAATACCCAATAAGTGCCCCTGAGAAAACAGCTGGTCCCTGAACGAAAACTTGCAGAGACAGGCATGAACCAGCTCCCGAGCAGTGCCCCATGGTTCTGCCCACGTGGTCTCCAAAACCAGACAGCTCAGTGGGACCATGACGGGTGTCTAGGGTGTGGTATTCAGGGAACTGCCCCAGCCTAGAAGAGACTGCGTGCCTGGGCCCAAGTCCCTGGTAAAATCAAGGGCTTAGCCCAAGTACCCATCCTGGCAGAGGAGAGGGTGCCCAGAGAAAGCCATGCTGGCAGGGGACCATGGAGAAGGGATTGCATGACTTGGACCCTGTTGAAGG